ACTGACTCACGATAATTTCTAAATCATGTAATAGAGGCAGAGGTAATAATATATTATTGTTCTAATAATTATTGATAAGTTAATATAATAACGTCGCCAAGAGACTAATTTGTCAAAGCTGTGCCTTTGCATCTTTTTTTAACTTTTTCATCTCTTTACCGCTGCCTATATTCGCTGCATGGGGCTTATAGATTAAGTTTGATGTTTTTGCAGTCATAATATTTTAAGTGCACTCTATTGATCACTTATGGCAAGTGTCACTGGCAAAGCATTATCTTAATGACACACACACACACACACACACACACACACACACACACACACACACACACACACACACACACACACACACACACACACACACACACACACACACACACACACACACACACACACACACACACACACACACACACACACACACACACACACACACACACACACACACACACACACACACACACACACACACACACACACACACACACACACACACACACACACCACACACACACACACACACACACACACACACACACACACACACACACACACAACACACACACACACACACACACACACACACACACACACACACACACACACACACACACACACACACACACACACACACCACACACACACACACACACACACACACACACACACACACACACACACACACACACACACACACACACACACACACACACACACACACACACACACACACACACACACCACACACACACACACACACACACACACACACACACACACCACACACACACACACACACACACACACACACACACACACACACACACACACACACACACACACACACACACACACACACACACACACACACACACACACACACACACACACACACACACACACACACACACACACACACACACACACACACACACACACACACACCACACACACACACACACACACACACACACACACACACACACACACACACACACACACACACACACACACACACTGTGGTTCGTTTGCGCTAGGAGGAGGAGGAGGAATAAACATTATTGTCAAAAACCGGCAGGCTCAGGTGGCCGGGCGTACGCCTCCCATCAGGCCGGACCATTATTGTGACGGTGTTTCCCCGCTTACCCCTTTTCAGTGTCTGATGGCGAACAAGACGTGTTCGTTTAGTTCAGTCCTGTGGCAGTTTTAAAGATTGATAGATAGATAGATAGATAGATAGATAGATAGATAGATAGATAGATAGATAGATAAGTAAGTAGGTAGGTAGGGAGGCAGGTAGGTAGGTAAGTAGGTAGGTAGGTAGGTAGGTAGGGTCAGGGTGCATAGAGCTGCAGTAATGTAGCGAATTGGGCAATTTAGAGTACACTCCTAACGGCAAGCGTATACAGGACAAGAAACAGGGCCTGAATCTTGTACGTTCTTTTTTCTCTTGACTTGTTTGCGCTCGCCTTCGTGACAAAACTGAAGCATCATTTATTGGTAGAATCTAGAAAAAATATCGATGGTATACAAGATATGCATTGCAGCGTGCACTAAGCGGAGCTGGATACATTGTTTCGAGTAGTGGAGCGGCACTGCATATTTCGGCTCGGCTCATCCGTTCTCTCGGTCTGATTCCTGACAGAGGCACCAGATGTGCGGAAGGCAATAAAAGCAGGCACGCTAACGAGGTCGAAAACTGATTACGAGGCTAATTAGTCACAGCCTATCGACAAACAGACAGTAGTCACTCGCGGTAGTTCGCTAATGTGCGAAGCGCGCCTTCGTTCTTCATCGCGTCGCTCACTGTTTGTGCCTGTTCATCGAAGAGCCAGTTTAGTTGCGCTCTTGATATTGGTTGCCCTAAAATATGCTACGGTAGAAAATCTTTCGAGAGATCGAAGCAGATGATGGAACGAAGGATAATGGACGAGTTTGTTTAAAATAGAAGCTGGGACGTCCAGCTTTCAATCACTGCTTTTCGTCGCAGGTGAGGGCAAACGATCTCGCAAAATGTGCTGTCATAAACTCAACACACTGAAAGGACGCGCCAAGTTCAACAATAGTTTTATTCCTCCTACACCTTGTCGTTTTGTTACTAGTTTGCTCACTATAAAAAAGTGAAAGACAGGTCTTAAAAAGTTACGGCTATCGAAATCAACCTAGCTCGAAGCATTGTTATTTGTTGAGAAAGAGAAAACGCTTCTCATGATAACCGTTGACTTTAATAACAATATCTTAGTTTTTACGTCCGTCCACGTCCCATAATCATAGGATTTTTCGGGACGTTGAACCCCACATATCATCGCCATCATTAGTTTTTACGTGCCGAAATTGTGGTGTGATTACGAGACACACCTAGGTGACTGGCTTCAAAAATTCAGGCCATCTAATATTATTTACCGTGCGCTTACATCGCACAGTGCATGGGCCCCTAGCCTTCGACTCCATATAAATGCGATCGCCGTCGACGGCATCAAACGCGCGAATTTAGGTCCAGCAACCGAGCGGTGTAATCACTGTACACCGAGGCGGACAGCGTTGGTACTGATGACCGAATCGGTGGCCTGTTGTAAACGCGTGCGAGATGTGTGGTTACGCACGATAACGATTGTTCAAGATGAAATGCGTTCAGTGCATTCAAGTGGGGCGAACATTACGCGTATAATGTGACGTTACTGCGCGTTTGAACTTTGCTTGCATTCGACGTGAAAGTTTTCGCTGGATAGGAAGCTTACTTGTAGCTTTCGGAAATCTGTCGTTACGGTCTGAGTAATTTGCGCGGGCCTCAGTCATCTACATCACATGAAAAGTGGCCTGAGTTTGGTTACGTACCTCAAGGCCTATATTCAGCTTAGGTTCTCAGGGCGAGGCATCTTTGGCGCTGTGCGCTGAAGCGGCCAACTGTTTCGCTGTAGAGACCTTCGCAACGTAAATCGTGATTGCACCAAGAATCACCAAAATATGAAAACATTTGTTGTATTAATTGGAGAACAAAGCAAACATTTGACAAATCTGTTAGACAGTATTTATCTAAGCTTTTTTTTCTTGGCAGAGTATTGCTGTACCCGATTGAGACAGAACACATGTTCCATTACTCAAGAATGTTTCACTTGAAAATGCGTTTGAATACCCAGCATGATGAAATGCTTCTCATTGTTCGCCCCTTTTAGGATAGCGTCGCGGTTATTTTTCCTAAACCTGTTAACGTCCCCACCATTCCTATCTCTCCTGTTGTCTTTGCTTCATAACACGTTTTTGTATAAAGACATAATCTGAATACAAGTAGCACATAATCCACAACTACACACGCGGCAACTGAGTAGGAATGTTTATATAAGACAAGATAAGAAGAGGTAGAATGCAAACAGCAATAATTTTTCTATGAGCCCGTGGTTTCCGACTTACTGGGAACAAGCTTCGTTTTTTCCCTAATGATTATCTGGGCTTGTAAGATGTTAATAACTTTTACACCTTAAAATTTATTAAGTGTCTTTAATATTTGAGTTTATTGATTATGCAGTGTGGGTATAATACAGTACACGTGATGAAACGTAGCTTCACTGCTTTTTAACTCGGGTATTTCATAAGAATGATATAAAGAAGGTTGTTCATTTTAGTAAAGTAAAATAAAGACTGACCATTCAAGAACCATTTTCATGTCGTCTAGTCTATGGTTTCGGTATTACACAATCTGCACTGTGGTGTTCTGTTCATGTTCTCAGCACAAAAAAGCGGAGAAATGGTTCGGGTAATATGAAGCTTTAGAATTACACTCAAAGCCTTGATGAAAATATGAGATTGTGCTTGAATGGCTTTTGAAGCTTAGGCTGAGACTATTCAGTCGCGGCAGTTCTTGCACAGAAAAAATTTAGGCAGCGTATTAGCAGAAATATGAGTAACAATGGCCGAAACAGGAGTGACTTTTATTTGACTGCTATTTGTGCTTTGTGCCAGTCGGAGAAATCAATGCGATCATTAAATTTGATGAAGAAGTTTGGCAACGCTTTCGTGTTCTTTTTTCTCTTTTTCAGGAAACCACATGCAAACCAGAACGGCTCCCAGAGATCTATGCACCGTCTCGCCGACTATTGCCGATTCTAACTTGGAGAAAAAGAAAACGAATTTTGAGCAATGAACAAGCGCGAGGCTGTTGTGAGGCTCTTTCATATCACCTCCAGCCAATCATATTGGAACCGACAGCTTAAGTTTATTGTAGCGTTTTAATCAGTGAGAAAGGAAACAAAAAAGAAAAAGAGGCTCTCTTGTCTTGTGTTGTCGCTATGCAGTAGTGATGAGACGGGAGTTGCGAAAAATTTTCTTTTAGAGAACTAACAATTTGCACGGCTGGCTTTGTATGCGAGAACAACCGAGCCATAACGCTGATGCTCCGGGATTCCGGGAACAAGGAAAAATTTCAGGATACTCTCTCAGCCAAGCTTGAGACTTACTCCGAAGGTGCATCTATTGTACAGTCAAGAAATCTTCGCAGAAGACGTCAAGTGCAACAGATTGTGACTAATAGGAGCATATTATGCTCGATGCTTTCAATTCCTCTGCAGGCGTGTGACAGACGTTTTCACGTAGTCTACTCTAATATTTGCAGTTTTTTCAAGAACCTCAAGCATCTCGTCATCGCGTAGCTCTCCCTTGCAACGACAACATTGATTTGCTTTTCTAAAGCTCTTACGAAGAAACGGTTCAAAGGCATCTAAGTCTTAGAAGAGTGATTGCAACACGTTTGCGGCCGTTCGTGCATTACTGAGTCATTTTTCATTTGATCCCCGAGCTTCATATTCACTCGGGAACTGTAGACCAGTGGATGTTATTGAAAAAAAAATACAACAGTCAGCACGTGGATAGGAAACAGGGTGATTGTAGGAGCAGACAGACTTGAACGCTGAATATCGAATGATGAAGATACGTGCTGAAGAGGACGGAGTGAATCAGATGCTAACCAAGTGGCAATTTCGGAAACTGGCTTCATCGCAGTCTCAATAGTAGTCGAGGCTTTGGATATCAACCATCATTGCGAACGCTATCACAGGACACTCAACGAGACGTAGTCGACAAGAGACACTTCGTAGCCAGAGACGTGATGAACCGATAAGGTACTGTTGTTTTGCGTGTGCGCGGGTGGTACGACAGACTGCGGGACAATGCGTGACTGAACTGGCCGGACTGCTTAGCGCCATCGGCTTGGGTAGAGCGGCAAAGCTGCCTCTGCGGACGTGATGTGCTGAGCTGAGGGGTGCGGCGGCCGAGCGATGAGCGGAGCGCGTTGTCCGTTCTGGCAGTCCCTGTGGATAGTCCTGGTCAGCTGGCAGTCGCTGCCCGAGCTCTACTTCTTGGCCACACCGTTCGTGCTGCACGCTGCCGAAGCCGCCGCTCCGGCCAGATCCGTCATCAAGATAGGTGAGTGTTCGTGCTTGTTTTTACTTTATGTTTTTTCTTGCAGACTTTGGCAAGCCTTTGAGATATATACCGTGGAGCAATCTGTATTAGAGACATCACTCTAGTATTGTTTTTTCTAAAGTGCTACTCCAAGACAACGCTAAGGAGTCAAAGAAAGAGGAATGCTGTAGCTACAAGCATTCGATGTTCCCAGGACACTTCTGCCATAAAAATAGTGCTTGAGTCTATTGCCACCTTGACTTGCCTATCTGTTGCATACAGAACTGTTCGCTCAGGAAAGATAGCTATCATAATGAATGCAATAGTGATTTTATTAACTAAGTTTTTAAAACATGCCCTAACAAAAAAGTGTGTCATACACCCCTTGATATCGCGTAACAATTGAGCGTGACGAGAGGTCAATTGCTGCACTCGTACATCATGGTAACAAGGGCGAGCTTGCCTGCTGCTACGGGGCGCATTTACCTCGGCTTTCTACAGATGTTGTCGCTTATTCAAAGCTACGAGCCTCATGTACACGTTGAATTAGTCGGGGTTACAAATGCCAGTACTTCCGGGGCCGAATTCAGTGGTGTTCTTTTTCTGTAGTCGACGGGAGTTATTAATAATGTTATGTCTAGCATCCGCGTTGACTGGATTTTTCCTTTGCGAGGAATAACAGAGCAATCCTGGTGGACCGTAACTCACGTTAGGCTTAAGAATTGGGTCACGTGTTCGCTTGACACGGCCATATATAGTCAGGCTGCTACCAAGTCGTTACGTATAGAGTATATAGCATGAGGCTTCGTTTGAAATGATATGACCGATTATGCAGACCCCGAAACTCCCGAAACCATTAGGTACTTAGAACACCTTACGAAAATTCAGTGACATGCTAGAACCTGGCGAAAAAACTAAACAAGGAGGCTTAATGCGGAAAAGAAGCAGATGTGGTCTCGTTATTCAGTCAAGCATTCAAAGTAGGCTAACTCAAGCAGTGCCACATCTCAAAAACCAGTGAGACCCAGGAGTAAGCGAATGGCAAACAGTTCTGGCGTAACAAAACTAGAATGATAACAAACGCTGAGTAGCTCGTCTAACCAAACCGACTACTTCAGTAAGAGCATGCGGAAAAGTTTGGAATCAGTATTTCTTCATGCTAACGAGCCCTAATGGACCTGGAATTTGGCCTTTGCTATTTGTTCGCGACAAAGCACTTTAAAGTTTGTTTAGCCTGTTGTTATTTTGACTGTGCGAAATGTGCACGTTTTATATTGACGGGGACTGGTTCACCCACGTGTGTGCCGAGTCTACACCTCCTGGTATCGCTGGTTCGCGTGCTTGGAGGCCATACATGCCGGCTAGCAAATACTCAGCTAGCGTGTGCGCTGCTCTCGGAGGGCCCCCGGGGCTGTTTCGAGATTTCGCATGCAGTGAATGGCTCGATATTTTATTCGCTTAATTCTTTAAATAAGCGTAGTTAAGCCGATCCTTTCAGGAGCCTCCTTCAGCTAAGGAGTGTTGCGGGCGGACATTTCACTGCTATGTCGTAAAACGGTATTTGGGGGAAACGCAATATTCATAATCGATAGCTTGCTCGGAGCATTTCAGGACGTGCATGCGTGCTCGAAATGCTGTGTAATCTATCTCAGCGGCGCTGTTGTGATCGAGGTTTGTCGTATGTGCCGTAGATACGAAAATTTCCATCATCGCGAACCGACTCACACAGTCTTTATCGTCTTCCTCACTGTCGTCCTCTCCTGCTTCGCTCCCACAACAGGAGTGCCGATTTGTCCGGTGTGGTATGCAACAGCTCTGATGGGCGAGAAAGCGAGTACAAAGAAAGAGAGAGAGAGGGACAGACTTTCTACGAAAAAAAAAACACTATTATCAGGCGAGATTCGAACTAAAAACAAAGGAATAGAAAGAAAGTGTGGATGGTTGCGTAAAAATTAAATCACGTTGTCGGTGCCTGAGTTGCGCAAAAATATTGTGTCTACTCGGCTTAATCCTGAATGTAAGCCGATATCTCATTACATTTTCTGTCTCTGCCACATTCTCTCTCTCTCTCTCTGTCTTTCTCGATGCTTTATCGTCCTTGCATTCGCGTCACACAAAGATACTCCCAAGCACGCACTCGTTTTCACAGAGCAGTGGTAGTTTCGCAAAATTCCGCGCTCCCAACTCTTCTGCTCCTATTCCAAAGCCTACACTCTTTTGTCTTGACGCAACGCAACGAGACATATTTCACACACGGTGTCTACGGCACAGGCGGTGCTTGCAACTTCGACTTAGAAACATTCACGCAGTAGGTCCCCACCCTCCTCACCCTTTTCGTTGTCGTTGTTGTTGGTGGCCGTAAATCATCCATACTCCTGTCGCTGGCTCTTTCGCGCATTCGAGTGACATACTCCCGCATTACTTTCCTTTTCTTTTTGTGCATTTTTTGTGTACTATGAATAAAAAGGCTCGGTAAAGCAGGTACATTCCAGATTCATCCAGATCCACTTGCCGAATGTGGGAATGGGGTAACGCCCACACACACACATACAAAAAAAAAGAAAGGAACACGAGAGTTGCAGTGAACTTGAAGCCTCTTCCTGGCCTTTTCGTCTGGCGCATTTTTCAACCGAACTATTTGCTCAAACAAAATTTTCGTTCATTTTTTGTTTTTTTAAGCGGCCCATACACGTAGACGCAGGCACACCGTAGTGTGCTTCGAAAGTTGCAACAGTTTTTCTCACATTCTCAGGTATTTTTCCCCGAAATTTCACGCCCATTTTTTATTGCTATCTTTCGAAGAATGATTTGTTACCGTCAGGCCTTATGCTTATATTGGGCTTAGGGAGATTTGTCAGGTGGCAGGCACTGCCGAGAGTGTTTGCCAAGGCCGGTGCATGGCAAAACAATTTGTCAGATTTCTTGCTTTTTCTCAGCTTTTAAGCTTCCCTGTGCAACATTTCCGGCCTCTTCTTTTTAGCTTTTTTTTCATTCTGTATATTGCATACGAAAAAAAAAGTAAAGCCCCACTTAGCTTCCACCTTGTACGCTTCGGAGAGAGCGATAAATCCTGGCGCAAAGCGTGGCGTAGTGGACGTTGGAGCCGCGAGCACGTTCACCAGCAAATGAGCTGGATTCCCAGATTGAGGATATGTCTGGTATGTGAGGGTTAACTTGAGAACACGTTACGTTCACCCGATTTCAATGGTTTACCCTGGAAGCACGTTTAGAGTGTAGATTTATGTCATGGCGTGATCGGCGTGTAAGACCTTGCTGCTACTCTACCGGTGTTGTATAACACTCAATGGTCGATACTGTTTCCACAGACGCCAGGTTTTTCGTGTACAAAGCCGTCGCCGCCACCGCAATCTTGCAGCTTGCAGAATGCTTCGCTTAAAGATAATTCACCGCTAATATGAAACGAAACGTTGTAAGCGTGTCCCCACCCATTCTAGCTTCTCTTCGCGTACACTAACACACACAAAAAAATCAACGCGGTAGAAGCAAGTGTCGAATAGAAGACGCGCCCACGCACTCTTCATTTTATTCCGAGTTGCACTAAAGCACAATACCACCTCGCACCCGATCAACAAAATGGCGCAATACATTCTCTCGTCCCCGCTTCTACGGGTTGTGCGACTCTGCAGAACTTTTGCTGTTGTTGTGCGTTGTTTTGCGCAGGCCTGTGCAGTGTACAACCCCGAATTTCTCTGTGGTCAAAAAACAAACAAAAATAACTCGCTGATGAAATTGCGCTGGCGCGATTTCCAAGTCGGGGTTGAAAGCTCGCGAAACCACAGAATGGATGGGTGAGACACGAGGCGAGGGAAGCAGGCGTTTTATGTATTGTAGAGGGATAGATCAGAACAGGACGATATAGGAACAGGCTAGGCGAATAGAAGCTAGAGACATTGAGGGAGAAAAATAAGGAGAAAGAGAGACACAAAGAGAGAGAGAGAGAGAAAGGAAGTAGTGAGAGAAAAGGCACATCATTTCACATGCGCGCCACGCTGACAGCGATTGCGTGTTCCGTCGATTGTCCGCTTGATTCATTCCCCGCTCGGAGGCGCAAACGCGAATGCCACAACTTCCAATCCAACACCTAACCCCCCGTTTCCCTCTCCTCCTACCACGTTTTTATTTTATTGCCTAACCCACTTCTCCTTTTTTTTCCTTCTTAGTTTTTCGTCGTTCTTTCTTCAACAGTTGTTCTCAGCACGCCTTCTTTCATTGGTTACAAATTCAGCGTTTTCGGTTCTGTCGACTGGTCGTGGATGCGTTCGCTCGAAGCGATTCCGCGTTTATCACGATTTGTTTATTTTTCCACTTTGTTAATTTTTTTCTAACGTTGGAGCCAGGCATTCGTGGAGAGTGGGCTGAGAGGGCTGGGCGCGCCTCTATAGGCTGGAGCAGTCGCTATCTCCTAATCTGCATTTCATTTACGGGTTGGTGCTGAAGGTGTATTTTTTCCCCCACTATAAGCGGCAAAACGGTGTTCGCAGCCCGGATTTTGCGTTCGTTTCAGCTCCATAATCACTTCGCTTATCAACGAATTCACATTCCACAAAACTTCCTTTTTTATTGCTATGTGATAAACAGGTTTCCTTTCTTTTATTCGGGACTTTATTCGGTAGAGATAACGCTCACTCATCATCCGGCCGTTGGTGCCAATATTTTCGCAATCGTGCATGACGCCGAGCACAAAGGGTTAAAAGAAGATTACGAAGTAGACAAAGCTGTTTCGAAGAGGTGCGTTGAAGTGTGCCGTGATTGTGAAGTATTGCTCGGCTTGGCCTCTGCTCTGCGATGAAATTACTGTAACGTTCTCGCTTTATTAACAGTCGAGTACCGGTACCACAAAACAGACAGAAAGAGAAAGAAAGAGAAGTGAACGTTTATAAATAAAAAAAAAACAAAACAAGCGTGAGTGGAATCGCAATAGAAAGATTCTGTATATTGGGTTTGCGAAGGTTACATACGAATAAACTGGTGAGTTTTGAAGTTATGCGTTCCAAAACCAC